TGTATATGTTTGGGTCTGTCCATTTGTCTCTGTATTCTCCTAATTTATGAGACCATTGAGGCTTTTGAAGGTTATGAGATCCCTTGATGTTGTCTGTCTGTGTATTCCCCATCCAGTTTTTGTTAGGAGGCTTATGAGATCACCTTGATGTCTGTGTGTCTATGTCAGCTTCCCCAATTTTTTTAGTTTTCTATGTGGCCCATGTCATACCAAAGGAAAGTAGGTGATTTGTTCTTCCCAGAACTACTTGTTTATATACAAGAATTATATATGTAAATTTTCCATTTAATATAGTACATCCCATGAACATAGTCTGGCATCACCAAAATATTGGCGTCCATTTGTCTATAATACGTCTAAATTGCAACACTTTTTATTTTACACTTCGATACACTCTCTAACACTACATGTTTCTTCAGGTGCTTTTTCTTTTACTGATATTCAATTAAGATTGTGTCAAAATTGTGTCGAAACTGCTACACCGTTTCACTGTTCCAATTCATTTTAAAAACCACATGCTCTAGTCTTCTTTTTAATTAAAGTAATATAAAACCCTTTTATAATTTGTTGCTTATTGTTTTGCTTCACTCAGGGTGTCATCATTTCCGTAAACTATAAGATGTTTTCCTTGGCAGCTTGTTCCTCACGTTAGTTATCTGTAATTTATAAATTCCTATATTAATGTTGTTTTCTATTTGTTATTATTATTATTATTGTTATTATCATTAGTATTATTATTATGTTGTGTTTGTTTACTTTTTGTACTCACTTTCTCATGGTTTGTGTTTCCTCCTCAATGTGTGGTGTTGTCTTTACTAGTGCTGATGCGGTGTAATTGTTCCTATATTTATATGTTCTGGTTGTGAGGAGTGTGGAGAGTTGGGGCGTATAATGTTTTGTTGCGTAATTTTCTATAGTATTTCAAATATAGGGTTATGTGTTTCAATGTTTGTGTCATTCATATGTAAATCTTCTTTACTAGTTTTGTAAATATGTTATTTCTCCAGTGTATTTAGATGTTTTCCTTTTTTTCCCGTTGTTATGGTTTCCATAGTGTCTGTTATTGTGCCATACCTGTGTCCGGTATTCAATATATGATTTGAATATCCTGAATTAGTATTGTTACTTTTTATGTCGTGAATGTGTTCTTTATATCTGGTTTTGAATGTTCTCCCTGATTGTCCAACATGTTTCAATGGGCAATCTAAACTTTTATTTTCGTATCTTGAAAAAGTTTTGTGATTTTTTTTACTTCCTTTCCGCTATATGTAAAAGCTATCCACTTTGTTCTTTGTTGCTGTGAGTTCTCCTATGTGTTTTGTTTTTGCTTCTTCGGGGGGGGGGTGTCATATTCATTATTGTATAATATATTTTGAACTGTGTTGTTTTGTATGTCTTTTGCTTTTCTCGTTATTGGGTATGTATATCAATAAGCAATGAAGCAGCTAAGAGAACACAAACACAAGCCCAAACGTTAAGTATAAAAAACGAAATAAAATTCCTATATAAAAAGAAGCAACAAATAAATACACAACTGTACCATGCCCACATACACAACGCAAACATATGGCGACAGACATGGGATAACATTGAAATGAAGAAAATCTACTTCAAACAACAAGAAAAATTAACACACATGATTAAAACCAAAAATAAAGAAAAAGCAAACAGTAACACCAATTATACTAGAGTAGAAAACCGCACAACCATACGTGCAATTCACACACAAAGAAATACAATTATTAAATAAAGGTTTGAAATATAACTTACAGAAAAGAATAAAAATTGGATCGAAACATTAGCTCTTGAAGCCAAAAACAGCAATAAGTAACCTTCATATAACAGAACAAAATTACTATAGGCATGCAGTAGCAAGAAAGATAAACGATATTAATAAGAATAATAACACAAACTATAAAAAGAGTAAAGATGAATGGAAACAAATAATGAACATAAAAAACAAAATTTCTAACAACAAACTGATAATGACTAAAGGAGACAAAGGGAAAACACTAGTAATATTAACACAAGATGAACACAAACAGAAAGTAAAAAGTTTCTTACAAGATAACCAGTTTCATAAGATAAAAAACAATCCAACCCAACAATACCAGAAAATCGTAAAACAAACACTAAAACATTGTAATAAAAAAGTAAAGCTATCCCTGTAACAGGCCGTGAAGGCCCACAGGGTTGTGAGACGTTAAGGGTACCACATTACTTTGACAATCAGCTCAAAGATGGCGGTAAGATTGTCAGCCTTATGCGCCAGCCGCACTTTACTCCCCAGGAAAATTATTTAATTAATTCCTGGTACTCATTTCTGTTAGAGGCTGAGTAAACCCCAGGGCCTAGTGTGGCTGGAAGGATTAGGTAAATTGAAAAAATCCAATTACCTCATCGGGGCTTGAACCCGCGACCTTCCACAGCATACAAAAAGAACACAGATGGAGATACACAAACATGAATCCCATAGCCCCGAACTTGCATGCTACAATAAAACTACATAAACAAAACACACCTATTAGACCTATAATCAACTGGAAAAATGCCCCCGCTTACGAATTGGCTAAACAAACAGCAAAAACATTAAACAACTACTTACAGTTACCAAATACATATAATGTTCGTAATTCTATACAGCTTATGTCAGACCTAAAAGACATCGCACTCAACAAGGATATGAAACTTTGTTCATTTGATATAGAGAATATTTACACAAACATACCAAAAATGGGTATTAAAAACATAATAAATAAAGCACTAGGCAATCTAGGAACTGAAACAAATATACAAAAAGAAATCATGAATATGTTAAGTACAATAATAGAACAAAATTATTTCCAGTTTGACCAAGAATAGGTCAATAGAATGGGAGCACCAACATCATCAATACTGGCAGAAACATACATACAACATATGGAGTGCACACAAATATATCCCATCCTAATAAAGCACCAAATAATTATATATTTTAGATACACTGATGACATATTGATAATATTTGATCAAAATAAAACAAATATTAATCACACACTTAATGAGTTCAACAAAGCACAACCAACTATAAATTTTACAATGGAGAAAGAAGAGCATCAGTCTATCAGTTTCTTAGCTCTAGTAATACATAGAAATGACAAAAAACCTTGAATTTACAATATATCAGAAACCTACACAAACTGCCATTATAATACCAAACAGTTCATGCCACCCACATGAACACAAACGAGCAGGCATGAACTATTTAATAAATCGATTATATACATACCCAATAACGAGAAAAGCAAAAGACATAGAAAAGAACACAATTCAAAATATGTTATACAATAATGAATATGACATAAAATTATCTAGCAACATACCCCCCCCCCCAGAAGAAGCAAAAACAAAACACATAGGATAACTCACAGCAACAAAAAGCAAAGTGGGATAGCCTTTATGTATAGCTGAAAGGAAGTAAAAGAAATCACAAAACTTTTTCGAGATAACGAAAATTAAAAGTAGCTTTCCACACGCAAAACTCAATACAAAATATTATAAAACCAAAACCACAAATGGATAAATGTAATAAAAGTGGAATCTATCAAATGAAACATTTAGATTGCCCATTGAAATATGTTGGACAAACAGGGAGAACATTCAAAACCAGATATAAAGAACACATTCACGACATAAAAAGTAACAATAGTAATTCAGGATATTCAAATCATATATTGAATACCGGACACAGGTATGGCACAATAACAGACACTATGGAAACCATAACAACGGGGAAAAAACGAAAACATCTGAATACACTGGAGAAATGCCATATTTACAAAACTAGTAAAGAAGATTTACATATGATTGACACAAACAATGAAACACATAACCCTATATTTGAAATACTATAGAAAATTACACAACAAAACATTATACCTCCCCCCCTCCATCTCTCCCCACTCCTCACAACCAGAACATATAAATACAGGAACAATTACACCACATCAGCACTAGTAAAGACAACACCACACATTGAGGAGGAAACACAAACCATGAGAACGTGAGTACAAAATGTAAACAAACATAACATAATAATAATACTAATGATAATAACAATAATAATAATAATAACAAATAGAAAACAACATTAATATAGGAATTTATAAATTACAGATAACTAACGTGAGGAACAAGCTTCCAAGGAAAACATCTTATATTTTACGGAAATGATGACACCCTGAGTGAAGCAAAACAATAAGTAACAAATTATAAAAGGGTTTTATATTATTTTAATTAAAAAGAAGACTAGAGCATGTGGTTTTTAAAAGGAACTGGAACAGTGAAATGGTGTAGCAGTTTAGACACAATTTCGACACAATCTTAATTGAATATCTGTAGAAGAAAAAGCACCTGAGGATGGCCGTTTGAGGCCGAAACATATAGTGTTAGAGAGTGTATCGAAGTGTAAAATAAAAAGTGTTGCAATTTAGATGGATTATAGACAAATGGACGCTATAGTGGACAATTGAAACAGGATGCTGAAATGCAGAATTACCAAAATATGTCTGGGTTTTAACAGCATGTAATCAGTACAAGGAAATATACTAGATATACTTTAAAAATAGGGCAAAGCCATCCCTGTAACAGGCCGTGGAGGCCCATAGGGTTGTTAGACATCAAGGCTTCCACATTTTTCTAGACAATCGACCCACAGATGGCAGTAAGATTGTCAGCCTTATGCACCAGCTGCCCTTTAACCCCAGGGCCACAGTGTGGCTGGAAGGATTAAGTCAATTGAAAAATCCAATGACCTCATTGGAAACTGAACCTGCGACCTTCTGTCTGGTAGCATAGTGCCTCGACCAACCTATACGTAGATGGTAACTTGCGTCTTGTTCTAGTATTATTAGATGTTACAGTTTGGTGCTGGCTTCCTTGACATTCTGCAAGTGGACTGAAGCAAGCTATGTTCTAACAAAAGTGAAGCCACTGTAATAAGTCATGTATTTATATTGCAGGAGTGGTGAGCCAGTGACTCTGGGTGAGTGGCATGAGTTGCGGCTGTCACGGACAGGTCGCCTTGCCATTCTGCAGGTGGATAGCATGGCTCCAACACAAGCTATGGCCCCTGGTGCCTTCACACAGCTTTCTCTCCCTCAGAACCTGTACATTGGTGGAGTACCAAACTTTGATATGGTGTCACCAAAAGTGAGGGTCCGGACATCCTTTGTGGGCTGTATTCAGAAGGTATGGGAAGTGGGAGAAGTATAAATCCTCCTGCAGCTAAATCCATTGTCTTAGTTAATAAATTATTCCTGTTTGTTTATTTGTTTATATATTCATTTCCTTCTACTGTCCTTGGGGTAGGGTGATACAGTCACCACAAAAGGCTTGCTGTGCCAGGCTTCATGATAAAGAGTACTGAGTACCAAGCATTGGTGGAATGATGGATAGTGGCAGGAGAAAGCTAAATAGTCAGAGAAATATATATGGACAAATACCGTCTTAAGTGCAACAATTTTATTGTAGTTTTTACTTCTTTTTCCTCCTCCACACTACATGTTTCGGCCCTAAATGGCCATCATCAGGTGTGTATCACTCACGTAACTGTTACACTGCTTGTTAAAAATTTAAAAACACCAGTCTTTCTAATTGTATAAAATATTTGTTAATCTACACGCGTCGATTTGATTTTTAAATTAGCACTTTTTAAAACTTTAACTCAAGTTAAAATGTCTATAAGATCTTTGTNATGTCCCGTATTTAGTATGTGATTTGAGTACCCGGAATTGCAATTATTATTTCTAATATCATGTAGATGTTCTTTATATCTAGCGTTAAATGTTCGGCCCGTTTGTCCAATGTATTTCAATGGGCAATCTACACATTTCATTTGGTATATGCCACTTTTATTGTATTTATCTAATTGTGGTTTTTGTTTGAGTATGTTTTCTATTGTGTTATCTGTGTGTCTTTAAAAAGTTTTGCAATTTTTCTTACTTCTTTTGTACTATATGTAAATATGGCCCACTTTGTGTTTGGTTGTTGTTCGTCGTCATTTGTGTTTGATTTTTGTTCTCGTTTTGTCTGATTCGATCTTTTGATTATGTTAGTGTCGTATCCGTTGTTATGTAGTATGTTTTTAATAGTGTTCTTCTCTATTTGTTTTCCTTTTTCTGTTATTGGGTATGTGTGGAGTCTATTCATTAAGTAATTAATACCTGACAATTTGTGCTCGAATGGATGGCACGAGCTGTTAGGTATTATGATGTCTGTTTGTGTGGGTTTTCTATATATTTCGAATTGCAAGCTATCTTCATTACGATGTATTGTTATATCTAGAAAGTTAATAGATTCTTCTTGTTCTCTTTCAATTGTGAACTTTATAGTTGGTTGCAATTCGTTAATTTCTTTGAGTGTATGTTCTATGTAGTGTGGAGGAGGAAAAAGAAGTAAAAACTACAATAAAATTGTTGCACTTAAGACGGTATTTGTCCATATATATTGTGTGAGTGTAACAGGATGCTGAAATATAATATTGTAGTCAGAGAAATATTTGCCAAAATGCCACTTCTTATACCACAAATTCAATATGCATTGTCTTGACATTGAACCCGGGCCACCATGGTGAGAAATCAGCAAGTAACCATCTGAACTGTCCCATTTTTAATTAAGGGTTGTTTAATTTTTCATTGTCTAGCACTTACACACATTGGTGGCATTTTAACATCGTACCATGTACATGCAAACTGACCATTCATCAACGAAATTAAAGAGAAAGTGAGAGAGTGTGCATGTGTATGTGAGGGGGAGGGTTGGGGCTTTTTTAATAAGTTCACATTCTATTTGCCTTTGTTTTAAGTCATTAGATTAACACTCACACAAACTTGCATTATAACTTTTTGTTTTTTATTTCTTATTGTACACTAGTTAAGTGACCATCATCACGTGACATATGCCAACCAATCAAACATATCTAGACTATAAGTACAAGAAAGTAAATAATGAAATAGGTTGGATCCAAATTATTTTAACAAAGACATTAGTATAAAATTGACAGTATTGTGACATGTTGAGCTATGGATCACCCCTACCTCCCCAGCTGTACGTGGCGGTAACGTAACGCTCGCGTTACTACGGTAATAGGCGAGTTCCCGCCTCGCCACTCCCCTCCGCGGTGACGTAACGCGCAACGATACGTACCCGTAATCAACTTCCTACTGTGACATGGCACTCATTACGCAACCGGCAAGCACTGCAGCTATATAAGTGAGCTGCACAGCTGGTACCAGTCAGTTCTAATGTGGCTACCAGCGAGTTCTACTGTAGCAGTCGGCGACTTCAGTTGTACTGTGACAGCCGCCGAGTTATAACGTGGCCATCGCCGAAGATAGTTCCGAGCAAGCCTACGAGAGTGTGTTATCAACGGTTCTCCAGTCAGCGGACTACAGTTGGAGTATAGCAGCCGTCGCGGATAGAAGAACCGGACGTGTGTGTGATTGTGTAATTGGGAGCATGTGATACAGTGATACATAGCTCCACTACTGTAAACGTGTAGACCACTGAAGACAGAGTGAACTGATTTGCGCATAGGGTTATAAAGTGTGAAACCCCGCAACAGTGTTAACAGATTAATGCGATTAGGGTTATAAAGTGTGAAACCCCGCAACTGTGAGATAAGTAATTGTAGCCATTACTTGTAGACTGTTAAATAAACCAATTAACCATCTCTACGGCGTCTTCAGTAACCAGAAACACGTTACAGTATATTTCTAAATATAAATATTGCATTATGTCTGCAAGTTCATTAAATGTTTATGAAGTTACATGTTTTTTATTTAGATCAAATATTCTATATAATTTTTAATTTTTCACTCGTATATTTTCTTCATTTTTATATATATAGTATTTCTTGGATGTCTAAATTTAATGACAATTTTGTCTTAGAGTTAATTTGATTTTTTTTTCAGACATTTGGAGTAGTCTAGCCTAAAAGTTCTTTCCATGTCGACAGTAGTTGTTTAGAAGAAAAATTTCAGCAGCAAATGTACATAAACTGGCTGGCTAGTTCATTTTTTTATGAAATTGCATACACCAACAAATGGGCTGTTACATGTACAATTTCCCCTATTCCACTTCCCCTTCTGCAGCAGCATATTCTAATCCAGAACGCAGTGGCACACTCTGCATGTCTTAATGAGATCTGAATTTTATGTTGTGTACAGACTTTTTGTACATTGAGACAGTTTTGATCAAATTAATGACATTTGAATAGGGGTCCATGTAAATCATGACATCTATTGGTGTGGATCTTCCATAATTTGAGAAATGAAAAACAATGATAGACAGATACAGGGATATCACTTCTCATCTGTGTGTATGTCTCCTGCTTTTGGTGCACACAGCCCCCAGTAAAATTGGGGCCGTTTTCACCTTGTAAAATAAGTAGATAAAGAAATTGACTTGACTGTGTGGAAATTTTATGTGCTCCATAACAAGCCTATATATCTCTCAGTACAGAAGATGATGGCCTTGGCAGAGAATGTAATATAAAGGGTAATCAGAGGCTGCATTTCTCGGGTGAGAGCTGATAGGCTAACTCTGGTTGATTTTTAAATATAAGCAACTTAATGATCAAGGTCCCTTAAACAGATGACTTATATATTTGTTCAGAAAAAAAAAACCCTCTTTTATGCTGTGCAACTGTTCCAGTCCTTGCAAATGAGATCAGATAGCTGGAATTCTCTTGTATAAATATGGAAAAGTTTATACAATAAAAGTCACTATTTTAGTCTGGCTTGTACTCTTATATAAATTCGGTTCACAAAGTCCATGTTTGAATATGAGTACAGATAATCATAAGAAAGTTAGTTAGTTCCCCTTCTTAAAGGCTGTGCCAATAAAATGAGGATGCGACTGTTTCAGCTAGGTTAAATTAGGTCTAAAAAACACATCTTTGAGGATGCACCATCATCTTGGTTTGCAGCTGGACAATCAATCATCTGACTTGTAAGGGACATATCGATTTTTTTATTCACAAGTTGAGCACAGTTTGTTTTCTAAGGCGAAAATTATCATATATATTAAATATAAATAGTCTTAAAGCTGTATATTATGCATATTATCATTCACTGGTGAAATATGGAATAACATATTTGGGAAATACATCAGACAGTCATAAGGTCTTTGTCATACAAAAGAAAATAATAAGAATAATGATGGGAGTGGGGCCAGCTCATACATGTAGAGATCTATTTAAAAAGCTTGACATACTACCAATCCCATGTGTATATTTGCTTTCATTGATGACATTTGTTGTTAATAATTTGGATAAGTTTCAAACCAATAACTCTGTATATGTAATTGGTACCAGAAGGAATGATCACCTTCACATACCTTCAACACATTTATCATCCTCTCAGAGAAGGGTGTATTATTCAGGCGTCAAGCTATTTAATGCTCTGCCATCAAATATTACAGTTTTAAAAAATGATAAAAAGTAATTTAGGTTTGTTTTACAAAATTATTTGGAAAGTAACATATTTTACTCTATTGATGAATTTGTCGAGCATGCAAGGGGCTCAAAAGTTGAGAGTTAATAAATGGTCTGTGCGCATGAATTATATACAGAGTGATTCAGAAAGATGGACACAATTTTAATTGGCTATATTTCCTGAATTATATGTTGCATTTGAATTCTGTAAATTACACTTGATTATACATACATGGAAGTTTATAGATGTTCAATGTGCCCCCCCCCCTCCTCCGGCTGCACGGATAACATCTAGACGGTAGCTGAATTCATCCTACACTCGATGACAAATATCTTGCGTCACTGAGTTCATCGCAGCTGTGATACAGTTTCTTAGGTCATTCAAATTTGTGGGAAGAGGTGGTACACGCCACACAATTGTTTGCGATAGTCCAAGTTCTCTACTAGCACTATGGGTTGACTTCATTGGGCTGCGCTCAAAGTTCACTCGAATGCACTCCACGTTCTCCTCCGATACACGCGATCGGCCCGGGACGCAGTGATTGAGGGCACTAGCGGTAATACTAGAAACTTTGTAACGTCCCCTTTAAATGTACTTTACAGAATTCAAATGCAACGTACAGTTCAGGAAATATAGTCAATTGAAATTGTGTCCATCTTTCTGAATCACTCTGTATTGTTGAGACTTGCTTGTTGTAAGTATGTATGATGTCTGTTTTTGTTATGAATTTTAATATTTTATGATGTAACTGTTTTAATGATAACAGCTTGCCAGTGTGTGATGTATAGTCATCATGAATTTGTAATATGTGACATGTTTTATATCCAGCCCAATGGGCAGATGACTGGATCCATGAAGTGAAAATAAATGTAAATGTAAATCAGAGAGTGATCATTGTATCATTGGAAGCTGCTAGATTCTGTTTGCAGCATAGAGTGGGAACCAGATTGCTATATTAATTTTTGAGGTTGAGAGGAAGCTGCCTTGATCTACATTATTCTGCTAGTAAAACCTGTGAGTTCCACACTGCTAGTAACAAAACCCACTATTGAACATGACCCTGAGCCAGTTCCATGCACAGTGCATCTTGAAAACTTATTATTTCTCAGTGATCATCCATGATATCTTGTTCCATATGGTCTGTGTTACATTATTAATTTTTGGAGTTAATGTACATTACTAACAGTTCAGCATTTTGGTAAATAAAATTCAGGGTTTACTTTGTTAAATGTAATGTTTCCCTCTCTATTTTTCATTTTATTTTGATGTAGCCTAGCTTGTGAATTTTAGAGAAGCAGCAATAATTTTGCTTCCTTTTACAAGTGTAATCTTTCTTCACATTCCCTTAATTAGTAATGCAATATCCATTTTTAATAGCAAAGGTATTTTAGCCCAAAGATACGTGAATCATATAACTCTTTAACATAACAAACTTCTGAACTTTACTATTCCTTTTCTGTAATTCCATATATCCATGTTTCTTCTAATAGAGAATGATCTTCCCTGGATTCAGATAGATAAATAGGATTTCTGTATTAATATTTTAAAATTACCATTGATTTCAACAAGACATTCTGTAGTGTGTGTGCATATGTGCATGTGTAATGTTTTGAAAACATGAGATTTATCATAGTCATTATGCAATTCCAGGTTATCATTGCAACAAGCTGTTGAATGTAAACACGTTGCATGAAAATGATTTTGGTTGTAGGTCACAAACAAGTGAGCAGTTAATTGTTTTGGTGTATTGTGTATATCTTGTAAGCACTACTAAAATGTTTATGTGGATATATAAAGTTAATATACTATACAGAGAGATGGTGTATGATGGAATAGGTGTGCCTGTTACCCGTGGGATATGGTGTTAAACATCAGCCTTGATGCATCATTCAATAATATGGAAGACTGGAAAGGAATATGGGAGAAACCAGGGGATGTCTGTAGTATGAAAGCATATGTTACAAATGATGAGAGAAGTGTTCAAATTCTAATCAAGTGTTACGCTAATTTTATATCATATATTACTTTTCCCCATGTTGCTTAAAATATGTCATAAAATGCTTCAAATAAAATGTATACACATTAATGAGTATTGCATTTAATGCCAGATACCAGAGAGTCATTTTTAAGAAAAATAATACATGTTTATTTCATTTCTTTACTAAGTGATGAATTCTGATAATAGCAAGTTCTGATACATTAAGTGTTGTAGGTACATCAGATTTTACTTAAGACAAAATCTTATGAATGTTTTACATTTACTTCAGGTGGTAATCAACAACCAGCCACTGCAGATTTTAGCAGCCGCCCTGGGAGGTGTGAATGTAGACAACTGCCCTCACCCTTGTGTCACTCGGCCATGTGGAGATGAGGGTCGTTGTGTGCCTGAGATGGATTACTTCACGTGTGAATGTGCACAAGGCTATCATGACACACAGTGCCAGCAGCATGCTGCCCCTACCATGCTACAGGACATACCAATCCCGAGATTTGCTGGAAACAGCTACCTCCACTATAGTGATCCAGACACTATGCGCAGGCAAATAGCAAATTGCTTTATTTCTAATTTCTTAATTTATTTAACAACAATTTCTTAGTGCTGTAGATTATATAGTGCCAAATAGGGGGATAATTGTGAATTTGAAAAGCTGTGATGCGAAGCAGTTATGGTCTGCTGTAAGACACTATTCCATCATCTTTAAGAAGGTCTGAAAAAAGCTATGAAAAATCATAGTTGCTGTAGGCAATCTCCAGATAGTGATTTTATGTTTATTTGGTTCTTGATTTATTTAATTGATCAATGATTGTAGTGTGGCTAGCAGAATTTGCTATAATGAAGGTTTTATAATGTGTTTACAAATTCTGAACAGAAATTGTTCACCTACCAAGAACCACAAAAACCATGGAGCTTCACTTTTTTCAGCACCCTAAAAACAAGTATAAGACAGCAACATACAACATAGCATGACACACCATAACAAATTAAAATAACTGCAGCCTATTTTCCACTTCTTATTCACTGTATAGCATGCAAAATTGTGTTAAAATCTTAATATTCATATGTTTTTAATTTTACAATTATTTAACACCTCACTGTTACACTCCATGTTTCAATTGACATGGTCATTGAATTTTGAATTGAATTGAATTTATTTACATTCTATAAATCCTAAGCAGGTTAGTACCTTTGGATACAGAACAAGTCAAAAGGTTACATACATAAGTACAGGCAATTTTAGCTTAAAAATTAATATAACTTAATTTTACATCATTCTCTATTTACATTGAAGTATTCATCTAAAGAGTAGAAGGAATGAGCATGTAGATAATTCTTTAACTCTGATTTAAACTTTTTAGTATCATTGCCCAAGTTTTTAATACTTTGTGGCAGATTGTTGAACACTTTTATGCCAGTAAAGTAGACTCCTTTTTGATATACTGATAAAGTTGATGAGGGTAGGTGGAAGTTATATTTTTGTCTAGTATTCATGTTATAGACATCAGAATTTAATTTGAATTTATCTTTGTTGTAAACAACAAATAGGAGAAGCGATAATATGTATTGCGATTGAAGCGGTAGAATTTTTAATTTCTTAAATAATTCTCTACATGAATCTCTACTTCTACATCCTGTAATGATTCTTATTATATTCTTTTGTATTTTAAAAATTATTATACTATGTGAAGAGTTCCCCCAAAATATTAATCCATAGTTCATAATAGAATGAAAGTAGGCATGGTAAACCATCTTCAATGTTTCATCATTAGATGCTTCAAAATTGCTGATGAAAACTGATGCAGTTCAAAAGTATACCGTCGTCTGTGCGCCCATATGTTGTGCAGCTGTAGTGCTGGGTGATTCCTCTTTCATGTCGTGTGCAGCATTGCATGTGATTAGTGATGTGCAACAGGATGCTGCAGTATGACACTACAGCATATATCTGTGAATTTTAACATATTAGTTTTAGTGGTATATTTAATATGCATTTACAAATTCTATATATGCATGTTGAAAATTTCAAATTCATAAGACTATAGTGTTTATTCCTGCTGAATAATATAATTAAAAATGCTTTGCTAGAATTCTGATCATGTTTTAAGACACTAACCCAGTATGAATTAGTGAAGTTGAGAAAAACCACACAATTCCCAATCAGGTGTGCTGTAACACTTAAGAGTTAAAACTGGGCATAGTGTAACCATTATATTACAGTACTGAGTTACTGCAAGTGTACAGTTTATTTCTTGCACCAGTAATAAAAATAGTTAAGCCAGTTGCATATTAATCAGTAAGAGAGAGAACCTGCTAGGCCAGGAAACTGAACAGTATTATTTTGACTTCATAAGCTTTAAAAAGTTGTAAGTAATGTTATATAAAACATATTACAAGAAAGAACAAAATTGAAAGCAAAGAAATTAGGCAGAATATGAGGGTAGAAACACTAAGGGAAAGTATGTCAAATTAAGGATATAGTAGTATATGTTTTGTATATATATAAATATTAGGATTCCTTCCAGAGCTTAAATGAAGTTAGTGAATGAAAGTACTTTTGGGTACCACAAATTAGGTGAAAAGACCCACACAAGAGAAAATGGAAAGAAAAGTAAAAACTACAAGTGGAACTGTTATGGGAGGATACAGAGGACAAGGAGATGGTTTCATCAGAAGATGACCCTCTCTAGTAAAAACATAGTGTATGATATCTGAACTTACACATCAACTCTGCGCATGTACATAAGTACACCCATCTACTTCTAAAACTGAATTTATTTAAAAGACATTGGCTCCTTGCATTTCCTTTTCAAAACAAAAAAATCGGTACTGCAGCACCCTACATTATTGGCAGAGTAATTCCATCTATAATACACAGCATCTCTTCCAGCTTGATAGGACTCTTCTCGCCATAACCATGAAAGGGCTATCAAATGTTTTTTCTAGCCCACGTTTTAGATGCTTTATTTATATCCCACATGCAGGATCATCAGCTACAAGATTAACATCAACATGAGATTCCGAACTACCTCCTCTATGGGTCTTCTTCTCTGGAGTGGACGTTGCAACATGTCTGCGGCGGGGGATTTCCTGGCCCTTGGTATTGCAGATGGTTACCTCCATTTCAGATTCAACTTAGGCAGTGGAGAAGTCACCATACCATATAACTTTACACAAGTTGATGATGGCCTTTGGCACAGAGTGAAGGCAGTCAGGTGTGTGTTATCCGATTTCAACTTTTTGATGTAGACTGCAGTCATAGATAATAATAGTTTGCAATTTTACATAGTGCTAACATCCAGAGTATCTTAATCATACATTAGTAATTTATTATTCCCCATGACTACACTTAACAGTTATATAATTTGCATAATTTTAACACATTCTTTGAAAAACTATTAGCTACATTACCAAAATGTATTCATTCTGATTACATATTCAGCAATATATGTCAATATATTTATGATTATATATGTATACACCTGGTGATGGTCAAAAAGACATGGAATTCCTTGAACAGATGAGTGACTATCAGCTTCTGAGGACTGTTCTTCATAGGAGCTATTTATGAAGAGAACATTTCTTTGTTAAAACTGCTTTCTCTTATATTTGTCTCCATATCTGACAAGAATGTGAAACATGTTCAAGTCCACAAAATAATTAGAAATGTTTCTGTAATTGTTTTCAGAAATGAACAGGAAGGATCAGTGACAGTTGATAATGGCACAACAGTCACCAAGCGATCGCCCGGCAAACTCAGACAGCTAAACACCGATACTGGTCTTTATATAGGTAATGATACCCTCATGCAGTGAAAGCATATTTGCCAACCTTAATGAAATTCTTAATTATTAATTCTTACATTAGTTAACAGTTCACCATCGTTCCCCATGATCATCTGCAGCTGATGTTAGAAATTTCACATAGCTACATCTAGGGATTTTTCATTGACGTTGATCACTGCTGCTTAAATTTCTTCTTTCAATTCTTCAGTTGTATCCAGATTATTTTTGTTAAATACCTTTCAGAAAGCCCCATCAGAAATAGCCATATGGGTTAAGATCTGGAAGGTATGGTAACCATTCAGGTAAATGATTAGACAACACCCTGCTGTCAAAGTGCTCACTGAGCACGTCCAACACTGCATTTGTAGTGTGTCACTAAGTACAGTGGAACCTCGCTTAATGAGCACCTCTCATAACGAGAATTCGCATAATGTGCAAAACAAATTGTAAAAAATGACTCGCTTAACGAGCGACATTTCGCATAACAAGTGATGAGAGGGGAAGTCCCGGATTGTGCGCTTGCTACATCAGTCTGTGTTTAGCAGTCGTTCCGCTAGCTCTTAGTGTCACTTGTGATCACACATTTTTCCAAACTTGTGTTCAGACATATTATTTGTGATTTTTTTATGCAAAGTTTAATAACCCTTGCAAGAATGTCCCCTAAGAAAAAGCTGCAAAAAGACAGCCATAAGAGAATAAAAATAACTGTAGAAATGAAACGTAAAATCATTGAAAAGCGAGAACATGGTGTGAGCGTGGCTGATCTAGCACACACATACAATCGGTCTACATCAATAATTTGCACTATCCTCAAGAAAAGGACAAGATTAAGGAGATAGATGCTTCAAAGGGAGTGACAAAAATATCTACGCAACGGCTACGTATTCTCGTATTTTTTGTTTTCTGCAAATCGAATTCGCATTCCAGGTTGGTTCATTCCACATAGAAGAAAACATGAAGATTATTCATGCTCCTTAACAATGTATATATAATTTTCTTTAAATAAACGTTATACGTAAAATTTTTTGAGTATTTTTTTCGGCATGGAATGCATTATCGTATAGTACGTTAATTTATATGGGAAAAATTGTTTCGCTTAATGAGTGTTTCGCATTACGAGTAAGATTCTGAAACGAATTATCCTCGTTAAGCGAGGTTCCACTTTAATATTGTGTTGTAGCATCCTGTTGAACATAACTCTTAATAAATTTTATAGAACATAGTGTTGCATGTGAGAATGTAAAAAATTAATTGACACTAAGCGTGAAAAAAATGTTTCTCTGAAATTGAAACCCATTCCTTGGAGTAACAGAAGAAGTGCTTCATGGTGGACATTGAGATAATGATCAGCAGTCACAGTATCATTGAAAAAATAGGCCCAACAATATCACTTGTTGACACTGCACACAACACCATGCATTTTCTGAGAGTAACAGTGTCTCCATGTTATCCAAGTGTTCTCTAAAAGGACACTCACTGTCCTATTAAATACAGTATCTTGATTACTGCTGTTGCATGATATTGCTACCAGAGGCAGCACATTCTACAAAGACTGCTGAGACACTAAATAGAGTGAAGCCTGGTATATAATTAGGTAATAATATGCAATTAAAATTGGAGCATATTAAAAAAAAGACATATATATCTTACATGGTGGATCAATTTCATAACAGTATAGTTCACATTGTGGCTACTTTCACAGTCTAGAAAATCACTCAGAATTCAAGTATCATTGCACACCTTTGCTTTTCAACCAGAATAAATGGAAAACATCCTCTTTCAACTGAGAACACTCTCATTCACTGCTACTTCTTCTGTCACTTGCTGTGAGCTGTTACAGTTCACATATTAATGTGATTAACAATCACAGTCATTGACTCTCTTTAAAGTCTGTTACTTTTTTTTTATTGCTAGTGGGGTGGGACTAAGTTCCTTGTACTGTGGCCACTTCTGACCTATTGTACCAGCCCCAGATGATAGGTGGGGGTGACTGTGGAGCAATTGGTGGAATGAAGATTGGCAGGGGAAACCGAAGTACTTGGAGAAAACCTGCCCCAGCACCACTTTGTCCACCACAATTCCCACTTGACCAGACCCGGGATCGAACCAGGGCCGCCACGGTGGGAAGCCAGCCACTAACCGCTTGAGCTGTGGCGCAGCCTTAAGTCTGTTATTTAATGTCACTCAGTATCGAGAATGTAAAGCATTGAAAATTGTGCACAATTCATGAATATGGAGGAATCAATGGAATGTGAGAATTGTAGTACTTGATTTGGTATTATGTATGCCTTGACAAGAGGTTTAGGCAATTCTTTTACACTCTTCAGTTTTTAAGATAACATTTAAAACATTTAATTATTTTCTGATCTGTATTTCTATTGCAAAATCAGCTTTAAACTAAAGATACAACATATAAGGTAGTCAGACATTTAAGAAGCTGAAGTCTTTGAGACAGTTCTTTGTACATTATACCAACAATGACTTAGCTGTTGGATGTCAAATCTGGTAGCATGGAGAGACAACCAGGTAAATTTCTATAACAGATATTTATTGTGGATAACAGAGTATAGAGACAAGCAGGCATGTAGAGTGTGCAGTAACCAGCGAGGTTGTGCAGTGATAAGTCAGGTTGTGGCCCTAAAAAGGGCTGTACATCTGAGGTCGGGCACAACTGATGAATGCCATGTGGAGCACGCTGCCAGAACTGGTCTGAGGTGTGCCATGTGGCTGGCAGAGCTGAGTGATGAGGTTCGCTGGATCCACTGGGTCGGCTGTCAGAGTCAATAGCTCGCTGGGGATTCTCAGGGGCTCGCCATATACAAGCTCAGATACTGATGCCTCCAGGTCCTCTTTGAATGCTGTGCAGATTACAAGGAGAACCAGGGGAAGTACCTCTGTCCACTGTTGGGCCACACAGCACATGATGGCTGCTTTCAGCGTCCAGTGGATGTTCCCTGAGTCCGTGAGCTGCAGGGTGGTGGACAGTCATCTGTGAAAGCTGAATGCTCCACAGCTTGGCCAGGGGGTGAAAGAGTTGAGATTCAAACTGATATCCCTGATCGGGGATGATGGTCTGCAGACAACTGAAGTGGGATATCCAGCCGGACAGTAGGAGGTGTGCCATGGTGTTGGCTGTGATGTCTGGCATGGGGAAAACTTCTGGCAAGCAGGTGAAACGGTCAAATGCAGTGAAGCAGCATGTATAGCCTGCTGATGACGGAAGGGCCCCAGGAGGTCTGTGTGGACATGAAGAAAACAGGCCGCCAGCAGTGTAAAGTCGCCCAGATGGAGTAAATATGTGGCAAGAGACTTTGTAGTGCTGGCAGGACTGAGCCCAGATCCGGCAATCGTTTTGCTGAAACGTACAGTTGAGATCTCCCAGCAGACATGTCGCAGTATGTGCAGATCATGATGCCATGAATGGGCAGCTTCTCAAAACGCAGGGTGGTGGTTGACCCCAGGAGTGTTTGGAACTCATCATCACAGCGGGCTAGCCTGTGCTAGTGTCGGCAGTCTTCCTTGAGTGGCAGCTCAGTGATTGCAGGCTGGCCATTGGGCTGTGAACTTTCCAGTCGATCTAGGCAACTGCTAGCAGAGTCGACTGCCAATGTTATTGCCAGGAGACTTGCTGCTGTTGTGCAGAGTCATCCTGACAGTGTGATCCTCAGAGACTCGCTCTTGTTCTGCTGTGTTGATGTAGGCATAGCTGTGACTACCGCTAGTGTGCTGGGTGTCCACATCTTTATACTTGGTCACTAGGCAGCAAGCCAACCAGTGGGTTTTGGAGCTGTTATGATCTGCACTGATTGGCTAGCTCTTAATTCAATGTCAGTGACTCCCACAGATCTATATTAAAAATGATTAATTATCATTAGACCCCTAAATATAAATGTAAATATAGGCAACAAAGAAACTAGGGTCAAATTTATGCACTTCTAATTCAGACTAATTGATGATTATTTAGTTTGCTCTGTATTTGCCTTAACCTTCATGATTTATTTGTTTTCAGGTGGAATGGAGAATATAGATCATGCTTCACAGAACAAATATAAAAATGGTATGGTTGGCTGTATCTCAGACCTTATCTTAGATACAGACTACCACGTGAAGCTTGTGCAAATGTCAACAGCAGGCAAGAACATCAAACACTGTGGCTAGGAATAAATATTGAAACAAGGCATAGTGAAAACACATGCATTCATTGTGCCTAAACTGCATTTCAGTGGATCTTAATTTGATATTGTCTAAAGCATTTAAGAAAAACTTTTGAAAAGTGATCTTCACCCATTCATGTCAATTTGTAGTCCTAGCTTGTTTCCATTCTTTGGCAGTGACAGTGTATTCTGGTGAGCTGGCTTTCCTGACATTTTGAAGAACTTGCTGTCTCCATCTTCAAAGAAGAATGACCTGACTTCATTGGGCCACTGTTTAGTCATTTTGTATTGAAGAGAGAGAAATCCAGATGCTTGAAATGTCAGAGTAATCACGGAGGAATGGAAACAAGAGTATGTTTGGACAGTTCATCGTTGTTTATGTGGAAGGAGGTGATGTTTGCCTTACTGATACTTTCAAGTTGAATGATCATGTAACTCTTTACTTGTATGGTACAGAAAGTAAGAAAGTCTGGCACTATTTAAAGGTTAATACAAGAAAAACATGGTCAAATGATCCTCTGAAATGTTTCCTTATCCTTATTGATTGTCTCAGTAACCAGAATCACTATTTGTATCACATTCTTTGGCCTACTCAGTGGGATATCATACACTGGGTATCAACTAGAACGAGCATACAAAGGCCCCGCAAAACAGATGGTTCAACTGTATGCTGCTATAATCCAGCTGCAGCACACTAAATGCTTCACATAACCTTTTGCTGTGTTGCTCTCTTCAGCAGCAATACTTTTTCCTACACTCTGAATTTTGTAGCTACAGTGGTCATGCCATTCAGAGCCTTCCATGTGAGAAAGGTAAATCTTTCCCTAATGAACCATATCTTTTAGGAGTTAATATTTCTAAATAAACAATTTATATACCTTTTTAGATTGTAATTATAACACCTGAATGTTGCATAAAAATGAACTATTCTAAACCATTCAGTATTTGCATTCATTACACTGAAAGCAACTTCATCATCAGTGGCTACATTTTAACATATCAGTGTATATCTAATTTAACACTGCTGCCAAGGTCTGTGAAACTGGTGCTGCTTGTATAATCTCTGGTGACAGTTCTGTTAGTACTGCCTATATTGAATACTTCTGATAGTAACAATTTTTTGTTGTCTGAAGTTTCTCATTTGCAATGATTTTACAGGCAAAATTCACTTAAATTTCAATTTCCTTGCTTAAACTGTGAGAACAGAATTTGTAAATTCAAGCACTGAATCATGAACATAAAATAGGTAATAAATGGAAATACTTATGTATGAAATAGATCACTAAATGTGCAGATTTTATAACAAAGTGCTTTTTGTGATGTCCCTCTCCATTGCCTGGCATGGAAGTACAGTCTTCTCAACACATATTAGTATAATAGATTAGTTTATACAATGTACTCTTATTCATGCCATACTTGTTCTAATCTGTTGAAAGATACATGAAAAAATGCCAACTGCAAGATCTCATCAGGCACAAGAAACTCAATATGAATTTGGTAAAAGTTGCTTTACTTCCACATAAACAATTAAATATCTAATAAAATTACATTGCATTGGAAATGAGAAGTATGAAGCTAATCTTGAGTATGTTCTGCAGATAACATTAGTTCCGCATAAGATAAATATATGCTTGTGAACAAATTTGTGACATAGAAGTTTGGAAACCCAGTACCTCATCGTGAAACTTCAAATTGTGGACCAATTTGATAAGTGTATTAAACCTCAAGTATACTGAAATTTATAAAATTTATAGAAACACAAATTAATCTTGCCAGATATTTATATGGGACATCTACTGGAATAGTGACTGTTTTCTAGAGATTGCATCTCGTTTTTGAAATTCAGTTTAGGCATTCTGAAACTGCCATGTCTGCAGGGATTTGAACACCTGCCTGCTGGACCAATGGTGCATTACCGAAGATTTTTCTACGTCCATCTGACCAGTCTTTGAGCAAGTAAATACACTCTGCATTTAAATTTTGTGTGGTAAAATCATATCTGGCAATATCTGCAGACACGAGCATGGCAATATAGATTTTTATTATGTTGAGAGATAGTAGTTATGTTGTACAGATGTAAGAACAATATTCTTCTAAGTCTGACTGAACTATTCTGTAATTTATAAAACAAATATTGAACTTTTATAAATAGATTCATCATTGTGAATCAGATACTTTATATCCAGTGAATGAAAGATGCGAGTGAATTTATCAGTATGGGATATTTTTGTGTGTACGTCAGTAGGTATAAAAATGGCAACCTTGTGTTTTTCTAGTGTACTGTACAAAGCTATAAAATTGACAGGCAGAAATTATGTAAACTGTGGTGGGATTATATTCAACTTTTCTAAGTGCTTTATAGAAGATGTTGTCTTCTAACTTAGCGGCCTCAGACATAAGGAATATAATGAAATACTGGCCCAGTGGCAAAGACAGTTTACGAAAATAGTGAAAGACCTGTTACCAGCCTCTTTCTTCGAGAAACCTGTTATCAAAGGGCATCCTGATTCTGCAGAGGGAAGAGAAGGAAAAGAAATCTGAAGACACTGTGTCCTTAACTCCAAAACAATATTTCTTATTTCCAGCAACTGTATATGGCCATTCATACTGAAGATGAAGGGAGGACTTGAACTAAGTAAGACACATGTAGGATGTTAGAATATGTTGTGAGTGTTATATCAGATACTGAAATAGTACATCACTAATTTCTTACAGATGAAATAAGTGTACTAAATGTGAACATAGTGCTGTTTATGTCGATACTAATTTCACTAACCATGATTTTAAAGTGATTTGCACCTGTGTTCCAAAAATATTCTTCATTTTGCTATGCTGCGCTATCATATTCTGTTATAGTGCATTATGTCATGTTAAAAAATGGTACACTGTTTTACTATTGAATGTTTTATGGCACCATAATTAGAAATTTCGTAGTAAAGTAAATTATTGTTTCACCCTTTCAACACAACAGCAAATTTTAACACTATTCACACAACATATTGTCCTGCCATTGACACATACAAACACAATGCTGCCACAATAACGATCCTTAAAGCTTAAAAACATATCATTTTGTGGAATGTGATCCTGTAGTCTGTTAGTTTTATATGTTATTTCTGTACAATGTTATCAAAATGTCATTTGATGTTTTCTTCTGATGGAAAAGGTATAAAGAAGACATATTTATTGATGAACCACAATTCATATTCAATCTTGCAACCCAACTAACTCTTGCAGGATTATTCTAGGACGTAGACCTGTGTATGGCAGCCATGTTGTGTGATAAATAGAGCAAGATGTAAGTGTGGAGCTGTGTCCTTACATTTGTGTATACGTGAGAAAACATAATGCTTCATGTTTATAGAATCTTCAAAAAAGCAACACCTCTGGACACATGAGGTACAGTGTTAAACAGTTAGGGACAGCTGAAAATTTGCTACAAACTTTCAGCTCTATTAAATTTCTTTGGATCATTAAAGTGTTACTGCTCTGTTGAGCCATGTAGGATTTTACACATTTATTAAATATGTTTACCAGTTCATAAAAACATAACTAACTGGTAATCAAAATGAAGAAAGGAAAGCTGCTGAAATGAATATAAAATATACCCTGTGAGTAAGCATCAATGACACTGTTACTGTGACTTTGAGAAGACATGAGGACATTCTGGTATCTCATATAAAGCAACTTTTGACCAAAAGGGGCAAAGTTGTGAAACTTAAAGCAGGAAATAAAAGCTCTTTGACTGGCATCAAATCTCATGTTTTGAGTTTACAACCTCTGCAGATCTAATTCTGCAAAGAAATTTATATTTTTTAAGTTATGTACTGTTATAATTCAGCTCTCCTTCTACACATCCCTTTACTCTTTTTGCTTATAATGGCCTAAATTTGCTGATCATTTTTTTTCTACTGTATGTTATTCTTTTCTAATATATTGTTTTCTTCTTCAATTTGTTTCATGATATGAGTGTTAGCTGACAACTCTTGTAGAAAACTGTACAGTAAACTTGTTTCTTAATCATGAACAGTAAACTCTCCATTATCTGGCATGTTGTTAACATGACTTTACCAGTTGCATGTGAAACACTCTTACAGGAACCCAATAAAATGTCAAAACAACATGTTTTCAAATTAGTTCTTCATAGCTGGCATAGCAGATTTGTGGGGGGGGAAAGACTTTAGATGCATACACTACAGTCTGGCTTCAAATGCAGCTAGCCTCTATTGCAATGGCAGCTACATGTGGAAGCACCACAGGTAGCACTGCTAATTTTTGTTGGTTGGATGAGAATTCAGGATGCACGCAGTAACAGGAGTAAGACACTACACAGAACACAATACACAAATGTATGTAGGAAGAATGCTCTCATAAAAGAGGATTGGCGTAATTCGCATATTTGGGTGCGACGTAGGACGAATCCTGAAAAGTTTTAATATTTAGAATTCGTCATATATGACGAATACAGATTTTAGTCATTTTAGAATGTAGACATCATGGCATGCAGTACAATAGTTCAACGTGCATAGAGACACCTAAAGATGGCACATTAGTGCTGAAACATGTTGTGTAAATGTGAAGAGTAAGGTCAAAAAGTGTTTGCACTGTAAGACGGTTAGCATAAATCATGAACATGAATTCAGGATGCTTGGAAACCAGATAACCAAAAGTTTGCTGCAGTTTGGAATGATACAAGATATACATTGACAAATTGTCAATGAATAATCCGTCGAGTGTAACAACGTTCTTAGGTCACTTATTTATTTCACTCGCCTTACATGTTTCGGTTCAAAAGAACCATCATCAGAGGCACGTTACAAACACATGAAACCACTGGCGTTGTATTGTACACAGTATATAAGCTGCGTGATCTGCTAGAGATGTCGGAGTGTAAAAGCACAACACTTTCTAGTAACGTTGAATGCATGTACACCTCTTGCATTCCATCCAAAGAATGCTCTCAAATTGAGCCGTCAATGTTAAAATATTTAAAAGCTTAAAACATTTGAAATAAAATTTGGCTCCTTCTTGTTGATTCGTCCCGGTGATGGGAATCGTCAACTTGAGGTTGTGTATGCTGCAAAGATACTATTGTATTATATTAGGTTTTATATATTATATATTTAATTTTTATTTTCCCTTAGTGTTGTATTTGATCCTTGCTTACCTTTTGGTCGGATGTGTCTTACGCGTTGTGTGTTGTGTACTGCAGTGGGTGATCTACGTCAGTGTTATTTAAGGCCTTGTGTGTTATGACGTGGTGGTGGGTGTGTTTATACAAGTAGTAATGAGGTCGAACATGCTGTTCTGGTTATTGATCTCTTTTGCCTGTTTCTGCTCATCTATTAATTTGTTTTCCCTATAGTGGCGGTAAATTTGATATTCTTCCTTTATATTCATTAATTTACCTTTCCTTGCCACTTCAATCAGTTCCATGATTTGCGAAATTGGGCCGTATTGATGTTGTCTATTTAAGATGTGTTGAGCATAAGCTGAGTCATTTTTATTGAATCTTATACTTCTTATATGTTCATTATAGCGTGTTATCAATTTTCTGCCTGTTTGACCTATATACACCTGTTGGCACTCCTGGCATGTCAATTTGTATATGCCGCTTTGTTCGTAAGAATTTATGCTTTGTTTTTGGTTTAGTATTTTACCTAATGTATGATTTACTTTAAAAGCTATCCTTACGTTCGTGTTTTTGAATAGTTTCGTAATTTTTCTTGTGTAGTTTCCGTTATATGTGTAGGAAACCCATTTCTGTTCTCTTCTTTCAATGGGGCCCTTTGTTTTTTGTTGTTGACGTTTATGATACATATGTGTGATGAGTTCTTTATTGTAACCATTGTTTTCCGCGATATTAATAATTATGTTTAATTCTTTATTTTTTGCTGCATTATCCATAGGTAGGATGGATAATCTATGTATCCAGTTTTTGTAAGCTGCCAATTTTTGTTCTTTGGGATGGCAGGATTTATTATTTATCGTTGTGTCTGTTGATGTGGGTTTTCTTTATATCTCCATTCTTACTTGCCCGTGGTTGTTAGTTAGTTGTAAGTCTAGGTATGTTATTTGATTATTGTCTTCTTCATTTAGTGTGAATTGCAAGTTATTATTTTGCTTGTTGAATTGATCTAAAATGTATTGGGGTGTTATTTTTGATCGGTTATAAATCATAATTATATCATCTACGTATCTGTTGTAGTAGATGATGCGTTTATCTTCTAGTAAAAGTTTTACCTTTCTTTGTTCGAAGTGTAGGAATACTTCTGCCATTAAACTTGATAAAGGGGAACCCATGGCTACACCCGAGTTTGGTTTATAAAATTTATCATTGTATTGGAAATAATTTTGATTCAATATCATTTGGAGGATTGTGATAATTTCGTCTTTGGTGGTTTTGTCTATATGATTTTGGATAAGTGAATCGTTGGTGATGTGTATTACGTCGTTTATTGGAATGTTTACATATAGATCTTTAATATCCATCGTGAGAAGTTTGTGTTCTGGGTTTAGTTTTAGTTTGCTGATGTTGTTTGCGAAGTTTAAGGTGTTAGTGATGTTATATTCATATTTTAAGTTTAATAAAGTTTGTAGTTGTTGGTGCATATGTTTAGCTAGTTTGTGTGTGGGGGCATTGGTATTATTTATTATTGGCCTTATTGGTGCATCTGGTTTATGTATTTTTATTTTTGCATTCAATTTAGGGGCTTGTGGGTTCATTTGGTGTGTGTACTTTCTAGTTTCTGGTTTTATTACGTTCTTACATGTTTTTAATGTGTTTTCCACTAATTTCTGGAACCTCGATGTAGGATTTGTTTTTAGTTCGATAATGTTATTATTATCGATGAATTGTTTTACTTTGTTATTTATGTCTT